TAAAAAAGTGTGTCTTATACACCGAAAAATACGGTATATAAAATCTTAAAGAAAAATATATTTTTGATTTATTTATGTTTTGTAAGTCTTTCTTCATTATTCACTATATTACCTCAAATTATTAAAACATATACCAATTTCTCTTGAATACATGATTTTGAATAATGTAGATTCTGTTTCGTGAATAGTTAAGTTTTCCATACACCTTATTCACCCAGGAATCCTCTCATCAGAAACATGGTTCCTGTCCACCATTTAGGAGAAATAAAACTAAAACCTATTATCCCAGATAACAGATCATTTTATTGGACACAATGGTCCATTATTATGGTCCATTATTATGCTTCTTTAGGGCTAAAAGAATTATGTCAAAATAGTTGGTACAGTACACAGTTCTTTCAGCCCCGATGAAGCCACAGTGTTGAAACGTTCACTCCAGTAAACTGTTCTAAAGAATAACTAGTCATATTTTTACTTCCTCCAAGAGTTGAAACTCTATCCTCTAGAATAACCCCGTAAATTATTAACATGATAACAAATAATCATTGTTATTGCTGTTTTCGATGGTAAGAAAAATTATCAGTTACATAGAAAATAAAACCGAAACTTTAGTACCAAGTTGTTTCAGTTCTAATAAGCACTAACTTTCTTTGAAAGTGTGATTGATACTCCGACTTATCCAATTTAAGTGCAAAAATAATTCTCAAATGTGTGGAATATATATATATATATATATATTTACATTATATCAAACTTGGATGAAAATAATTAGTGTTTAAGTTTTTTCTTATTAGTATTTATTACATTCCCAACCTTATGATTTGTTTACTGTTTCATTTTAGTAACAAATGTTTTATTGATTTTATTAAGAAATTTATTTGTTCCTACTTGCATTTTATAAATGTGTTTATTCATTGTTTTTTAAGTTTATCTATTTTAAAGATAAGATCTTTTTCTTTGTTGTTGTTTGTATAAGAGTAGGTACTACTGTTTCTGTTGTATGAATATTTGTATTTCACTAGTAGTTAGTTAAAAGTTTTAAGGAATGTGATAAATCCTTATGAAAGTATTTCTTTGTGTTCTACATTTGAAATCTGTATATATTTTTTTCCTCTCTCCCTCTTCACTTCATGAGTGAAATTTTTTCTGACTGTAACAGAACTGGAAATTAATTTAGCTTTGCTAACAATCTTACCCTTGAATCACTCATAAGAAATCCTCACAATTATAGTCTAATATCTTAAGTTGAACACTTGAGCAAAATGGATGCGTTATGAAAAGTACGTAATATAATAGTATTACTTCATCTTCGTGTTTGTGATATATCTTTTATTTATTGAAGGCATTTCATTTATTTGTTTTATTGTACCAGCAATAGATAATTGTTGAAACTACTTTATCCTACATTTTTCCATTCGCACAAGTACAAGTTTTGTTTAATATATCCCTAAACAAAACTAATGTTTGATTTGTTTCCTCTCTACAACTTTTTTTAATATATCCCTAAAGAAAAATAATGTTTCATTTGTTTCCTATGTACAAGTTTTGTTTAATATATCCCTAAAGAAAACTAACGTTTCATTTGTTTCCTCTGTACAAGCTTTGTTTAATATATCCCTAAAGAAAACTAATGTTTCATTTGTTTCCTATGTACAAGTTTTGTTTAATATATCCCTAAAGAAAACTAACGTTTCATTTGTTTCCTATGTACAAGTTTTGTTTAATATATCCCTAAAGAAAACTAATGTTTCATTTGTTTCCTCTATACAACTTTTTTTATATATATCCCTAAAGAAACTAATGTTTCCTCTGCACAAGTTTTTTTATATATCCCTAAAGAAACTAATGTTTCCTCTGTGCAAGTTTTTTTTATACATCCCTAAAGAAACTAATGTTTTGTTTCCTCTGTCGTATTAGATGAAAGAAAAAACAATAATATCATATAATTATGTCTATAGAAAAAGTTGAAATGTGGTTAATATATACATATATTTATTTAATTATCTTTATGTTTACTTAATTATACTGTATTTATTATTATTGCTACTAAATTTTAGGTTTGGGTTATTATTGTCTGAAAAATTCTTTGTGCATGAAGGTTTTTAAGTTATGAAAATTTGTTTTATTTATAGAATAAATTCTTATGAACAATTCTAAAATATATTTCAAAATGTATCATATTGTTATGTAAACATGTTTTGTGACTGATACTATTGTCACTAAATTGTTTTACTGGCTTGTGTTGTTACTGTTTGTAAAGGTATTCATGCATGAACGTTTTTAAATTATATAATTTTTGTTCATTTAGACTAGGAATAAAAACAAGAAATATTTATGAACAATCAGTTATTTTCAACAATATATTTCAAAATGTATTAAACTGTTGTGTATCAGTGAATAAAAATTACAGCATTGTAAAATGAATCTGTCTATTTTGACACTGAATTAGCTACAGCATTATATAAACTATTCTGTATATTCTATTGGTGTTCATCACAGCAGTGTGAAATAACTCTTTGTAATCTTACCTGTAAAAACCATCATGTGTAATCTGACAGCATTACAAGTATTGTTTTAGTACTGTTACTGACAATATTGAAACCATAATTTTAACACCGTGTTAGTCACAGTACTGTGAAGCCATTCTTTGTTCTAACACTGTATCTGTGATGTATTTTAAACTATTGAGTATTTTAACACTGTGTTGATGACAGTGCTATAAAAACATTGTGCGTGTCACTCATGAATTGATTTAATTGTAAAGCTCGCTGTTGAAGTTGAACACTGATTAACTGCTAGTATTCAGCTGTTAGGTTAAACAATATCAATGACGAGTTAATGAAACTTTTTATCTTAATGATCAGTTAACAGCATATGTAAATAATGATGTATCACAATCCCATGTTTTTTTTTTGTACAATGATGTATTTATCAAGGCAAAGTATTATTTTTTTAAAGAGAGTAGATGTGCCGATAACATGGGAAAAACACCAAAATTACATTGCATCTTTGGATTCAAGAAGTATAGTCCTGCATCTTGAATGAGTTGCAATGGAAATGCTGTTTGGAACTTCTCAAAAGTTTAAGCTTATTCCAATATCTAACAAAGAATTTTATAAAATATTTAAGGTCAAGTGGATATAAATATTTTCATTATAGAATTATGGGAATTTTTTTTAAAAATTGGACTTAAATAGACAAGAAAGGATGAAGCTGTAATGGAGTCCCTTAAAATGTATCCTATGATGCATCAACAATATTTTTCTCACTCTTTCAGCAATCCTTTTAGTGTTGTAATTCAATGAACTAAGAAATTAATTCCATAAAAACAAAGACTTATAGGAAGTACAGAACTCTTGGGAAATTTGTACTGTAAAATATGTATATATACATAGACTAACCTGCATTTTTATTACATCTACAAATCTAAGAACTGCAAGAACTTTCAACATACTTTAAGCATTTTATTGAATAACATTTTCTTTACATAAAAGTGATTTTTCATAGCCTTGAAACGCAAAAGTACATTAACAAGAATATATATATATATATATTTATAAATGTTCCATTAGATTTATTTCAAATCAAAATACAGCTTGAAAATGTG